ATTATTGTAATGGTGGTGGAATTGGATTCAAGAATAAACTGGAACATTGCAGCCTCATGTTAAAAATCTGATGTTTTTATTTTTTGTCTAAAAAAACATGTGAAAAGGGGTAAACTGAGTAGAAATAAACTAGCTGCAGCACATATACATTGCCATGGACAGAACAAAAAAACTTGAGTGTAGGTGAGCAAACCAATAAACTCTCCAACAAAGTAAAAACGGATAACAGGAGTGAGAAGCAGCTGTGAGTGGGAGGAGGAATGTTGATCCCATGTGGACGGAAATGACTGGGACAACTGAGAGAAGGTGACTAATAAACAAAGACAGAACACAAAGTTATAAGTTAAAGAAACAATATTTTTACACAAAGAGCAGAACACAAAAAAAACTATACTATGATCCAAACACTATAGTGAGGAATTACAATAAACATTAAAAATCTATCTTTGCTGAGTTATAAAGAACATTTCTCATGTTCACCTTTAAAATGTTCCTACAGCAGCTATGTTAGCATTTTATGGAGAATAGAAGGTAAAGGTTGTGACATCTTTTGTATTATTACTATATGGATGAGGTCTTGAACAGGGGGTCCGCGACCCCTAGGGGGTCCGCAGAGGTACTGCATAGGGGTTGCAAAAGTTTTGGTTGATTTTTAAATTTTTTTTTTATATACTCCCCCCTGCAATTTTTTCCACTAATTGAAATGACTTTAAAGACACATTAACGTGAATTCCAGAGGTCTTCAACAGGGGGTCCGCAACCCCTGGGGGGTCCATGGAGGTACTGCATGGGGGTCGCGAAAGGTTTCGTTGATTAGACTTTTTTTTTCCCCCTGCAATTTATTCACTAATTGAAATGTGTTTAAATACACATTATCATGAATTCAACACACCATAGTAAACAGATAAATGGAGGCAGAAGATGTCTTTCAGTCATCCACGCACACATTCAGCGACACAGAGGAGCTCTTTCAAGCTGGGCACCGTTTCATTCACAACACCTGTCCCATCAACCAGGAATCAGAATCAGAAATACATTTTTATAATCTCACAGCAAAGTTACTTTCGTTACATGACTCCATCTGTAATAGAGNGCTTTTTCTCTTTATTCATGACCAATCTTTGCTGTTTTAACACTAACCTGTACTTTCTTGGTTGTTTTGTGTAAATACTAGAAGGTAAATCTAAAGAAGTAATGTTGTCTTAAGTTAATACTGAGCTAATGTATCTGTGTGGTAATCTCAAAGTAAAAGAGATAGTAGTAAGTAGGGCTGGGCGATATGAGAAATAAATAATTTTTCAATATTTTAAATTTCAATGGTAACATTCAATATTTATTTATGTTTAAATTTCTCTTTTCATAAAGTAATTATAAAAAAGACTCCTCTTAATTAAAGCTTTGTCCCAGATGTCACATAGGCACATTTTCTAACAAACACCTGCAGGTAAACAGTTAGATTGGTGTTTGAGCGAGACAACTGACTTGTCAAAGATTCTTGGATAGATGTCAAAATGTCTTCAGAAAAATTTCGAAATTTGCTTTCAACAAATAACACATCCTTTGTGATTGCCATGACCTGGATGATTGAGAATTACACAAGCATAAGAAATGACAGAAAAGTAACATCCTGGCATAAATAAATGTATAAGTGTAACACAACATAGAACATCTTCGTATAAACAATATAGTTTCATCTCATATCTCTTTTGAAGAAATCTCAATATGTTTAAAATCTCAGTATATTTCCCAGCCCTATTAAAAAACTAAAAAAGCTATAGGCTAATTTATGTTGCATATCCTTTTTGTTAGGTGGTAGTGTGCTATTATATAATCTAAATATACTCTTTATATAGGTTTATTGTAAGGTAAGAGTTCTTTGCTGTTTTGGTGTCTTATAATGTTTCCATTATATTTACCCACTGTACTGATGTTGTTATCCCTGTATTGTTATTACAGACCACTGCAAATAAATCAGCATAACCTTCTGACTGCTGCATTCGTGTTCTTTTATCAGCACACAAAACCTTTGACTTGCAGGTTTAAACCACTTAATCTGAGACAACAGATTCTATTTTAATAACCTTAAAACATCAGTCCAGTTCTGATTAGATTATATTTTGTTTGGCTGCAGTTATAACTCAGCTAATAATGTACTGGACAGTTTGGAAATTATGTGGATTTGACTGTGGAAAAAGCAGGTGTGTAAATATGCCACTTATCAGTGGTGATGAATCAATATACATCTACAAGATTTTAATGTATTTGTTTAATCTAATGGTATAAGGCTTAAGAAGTTAAACATAATTTAATTACATTTAATGTAAGCTATTTTTATGTTTAAAGGGTTGTATTTATTAGAATGTGGCCTTACAGTTCCCGTGAGATCACATTTGTTATTAATTGGTGTTTTGAAAAGAATTTTTTTTATTCTTTTAAACTGCTTTATACTTTATTTTTTATAAAAGTTAAAGGGGTCCTTTTATTTTGTTCTTACAGATGAAAGAAATACTTTTGTATTACTGCAGATGTAAATCTTTGATTATTCCACAATGGGGAAATTCACTCTGCATTTAACCCATCCCCTTAGGGGGCAGTGGGCTGCCATTGTTGGTGCCCGGGGAGCAGCGTCAGGTTAAAGGTCTTGCTCAGGGACCCAGATTGGCAGTCTGTAGGTCTTGAACCCAGAACCTCCAGAACCCAAGCGAAACGTTCTACTCACTAGGACCATTAGGCCACCAATCCTCAGTAAATATTGTAATGACAAAGCAGTCAGACTGAAATAGCATTGATACAGCATGTATTCTAATTTTACTATAAAAAAATAAATAAATCCTTACAGTAATGTGTTCTAGAGGGAAAAAAAATCAGGGTTTGATTTCAAGCAATCACCAAAAGAATTGTTGTTAAAATCAAATAAAGGATTACCAAAAATGTGGTGCCTCATTTTCTGAAGCACCATATTATATATGGTGGAATTCATGATGTCTTTAATGGCAGTAAGCTGGACAGATCAGGGGAGATGAGCGTCCCTCATTCTTTGAAACATCTACCTCCATGCTTCACAGGTTTTCTAAATAGGTTGAACAAACACAAAGTCTGTTTTTGGATTAAAACATTATTTCCCCATTGGAGTGGTGATCACTAACCTGACAACAGCCAGATGCATGTCTCACTCCGCCCAGCTCTGGGTGGAGCGAGACATGCATCTGGCTGTTGTCAGGTTAGGTGATCACAGCTGCTAGAAGGACTTTTTTATGATTTTTTTTTTTTTATCCAACTTAAGAGGACAAATTAGATGGGAAACAAATTATTGTAATAGTGGTGGAATTGGACTCAAGAATAAACTGGAACATTGCGGCCTCACGTTAAAAATCAGATGTTTTTATTTTTTGTTAAAAAAACATGTGAAAAGGGGTAAACTGAGTAAAAATAAACTAGCTTCAGCACATATACATTGCCATGGACAAAACTAAAAAACTTGAGTGTAGGTGAGCAAACCAATAAACTCTCCAACAAAGTAAAACTGATAACAGGAGTGAGAAGCAGCTGTGACATGAGGAATGTTGATCCCATGAGGACGGAAATGACTGGGACAACTGAGAGAAGGCGACTAATAAACAAAGACAGAACACAAAGTTATAAGTTAAAGAAACAATATTTTTACACGAAGAGCAGAACACAAAAAAAGAACTATACTATGATCCAAACACTATAGTGAGGAATTAGTTGTATGAAACCCCCTCAGTGACAACAATAAACATTAAAAATCTAACTTTGCTAAGTTATAAAGAACATTTCTCATGTTCACCTTTAAAATGTTCCTACAGCAGCTATGTTAGCATTTTATGGAGAATAGAAGGTAAAGGTTATGGCAACTTTTGTATTATTACTATATGGCTGAGGTCTTCTACAAAGGTTGGCAACCCCTAGGGGGTCCGCAGAGGTACTGCATAGGGGTTGCAAAAGTTTTGGTTGATTTTTTTTTTAATATATATATATTGCCCCCTGCAATTTTTTCCACTAATTGAAATTACTTTAAAGACACATTAACGTGAATTCCAGAGGTCTTCAACAGGGGGTCCGCAACCCCTAGGGGGTCCATGGAGGTACTGCATGGGGGTCGCGAAAGTTTTCGTTGATTAGACTTTTTTTTTTCCCCCTGCAATTTTTTCACTAATTGAAATGTGTTTAAATACACATTATCATGAATTCAACACACTGTAGTAAACAGATAAATGGAGGTAGAAGATGTCTTTCAGTCATCAATGCACACATTCAGCGACACACAGGAGCTCTTTCAAGCTGGGCACCGTTTCATTCACAACACCTGTCCCATCAACCAGGAATCAGAATCAGAAATACATTTTTATAATCTCACAGCAAAGTTACT